ACCCTTCTGTGCCGTGCTCATGTGTTTATCCATGTGTTTGCTTATCTTGGCCGCTATGATGCCTGACATGAGCTTCCAGGTTATGGAGAGGCAGGTTATTGGTCGGTAGTTGGGTGGGACTGGACCCTTTGATGGATCCTTCTAGATTAGGATTGTTCGCCCTTCAGTTAACCATTCAGGGTGAGTCCCACTTTGCAGCAGCTGGTTCATTTGGCCTTCCAGTCGCTCCTGGAGAGCAGTGAGTTTCTTTAGCCAGTAGGCATGGATCATGTCAGGCCCTGGTGCTGTCCAGTTTTTCATACCTGAGACTCTTTCTTGAACATCTGTCACAGTGATGGTTACCGGGCTTGCTCAGGGAGGTTGCTGTGGTCCTCTCGTAGAGAAATCAGCCACTGTGCATTGCTGTTGTGGGATGCCTCCCTTTCCCATATGCCTTTCCAGTATTGTTCAGTCTCCAGCCTTGGTGGGTCTGCTTTGTTGTTATTACCCTGCCATTGAGAGTACACCTTAGCTGGTTGAGTGGAGAAGAGCCGGTTAATCCTTCTGGATTCATTCTCCCTTGTGTATCTCTTTAGGCGGGTACTTTCTGGGTACTGGTCTTTTCATTGTACCCTTGTGGAGCTCTGACAGTTGGCTCACTTCCCTCCTTGTTACCTTGATTTTAGCCTCTAACCGTCTTTTCCATGATGGGTATTGGGTCTCATGGTTGCTCTTATAGCCAAGCGTCTCAAGGATCACTGATGCTGAGTTGTAGATCAGCTCATTGGTTTCTGTTATGGTGTTGGTAGGGATCGTTCTCAATGCTGCATTCACATTCTCAATGAGACTTTCTGATGGTACTTCACTCAGCCTTTGTAATTGGCGCCGAGGAGGTCTGGTTGTCATTCGGGTCATTATTCTCTCTCTCAGGTCAGCAGCTGTCTCGTTCAGCTCTGTTTTGCTCATTAGGGCCGTGTATCCCCTCACTGGGTGGGGACTTGTAGTTAAGTCCCCACAGTTCTGACATCCGGGTTCCTCCCTTTTGCCGTAGCATTTGAGCTATCCAGTCAGCTTGGCAACGAGGATATATATATATATATATATATATATATATATATATATATATATATATATATATATATATATATTGCAAAAATATATACGTTTGGCATTCAGCATAAAAATGGACTCTAATGGACCTTAGAGTCCATTTGGTGTAAATTATTACAATCTTATCCATTAAATTGTTTTTCTCCTCATCGACGGTGCTTGAAGCTAACTCAACCGGGTATTAAGTTGTTGTAACATATGGGGACTTTCACAGGGACGGTTCAGCACCAGACAGGACAGGACAGCCGAGACACAGTACCTCTCCATCACGATGGCTGTCTCCTGCTCTCTTTTCCGTCTCTTTCGCTCAGCAATGCCACGAAAAGCCCTGCCAGGACGTCAAAGGGTTAAGACGGTTCGTTGGGGAAACCAAGTTAGATCTTTTTTTTTTAGCTACCCTCGAGAATGTTTGTCTGAACCCAAACTGACCCAAGGGGTTGGAGTGTTTATAGAAAGCATCTGCTTTACCGCAGAGATACTTTCACTGATAAATCTATGATACATTTTTGGTTCTTAAGCTGGAGCATGTTTTGGATCGATCTGGCTGAAATACAGTCACAGAAATGTAAAAACGTGACCCTTTGAGTCCAGTTGGGTTCGGGCATGAAGAGCTACCGAGGTGGGATGGGAAAGCAGAAAATGTGTTCAGTGGGAGAGGCTCGGAGTCGGTAAGGGTTTGGTTAACTTTTCACAAGAGTTGAGCAAAAGAGGAATGTTTCATCACCATGAATACTCTCTTGTACAGACCATAGATTAACCACAGACACGCACGGACCACAATGCACCACGGTAATCTACAAGAAGAGACGGTGACGGAGAAACTACAGAAGCTACACATCCTCCCTACTGGCTGCTCACATTAATTCGCTCTGTATGAAACACTTCATATCTGGTAATAATTACCCACTGCGGGTGTTGTGTTATCAAATCTTCCTTTGCAATAAATCACCTTTTTTCTGAGCTCAATTTTAATGAGCATTAGTTCATATTATTTAAAGCGCTGGACGACGTGGGAGAGACAGTAACGGCTCTGACAACACGGCAGCCATCAGGGGAAATGGGCTGTGACAGCCTGTGTCAGGAAATCAGCCGTGTCCTATGGGCCTGGCTCAGACTGACTGACAGACAGACAGCTGATGAGCAATGAGAAGAAAAATAAAGTCACATAACTCTGGATGCCACCTATTAGCTGTAGCTGCCTCTGCCTGTTCATTGCTGTTCCATTACTTTTCTTTCCCTTTTCTCTCCTCCACCTGCCAAAACCATGAACTTGAAATGTAAAACTTTCTAATACAAACTGATTAAACATTTGGCTGGAGATCCGCCGTCCTAAAGGCTGGAAGGTGCAATTTATTTATTTATTTTTTGCAGCTAGACTCTGCAGTAAAACTTCCTGGTGAGTTTCCTGAAACGTTTTTAACTTAAACCTAGATGGTAGGTTACATGTGAGAAGTCATATTGTATCAGGCATGAAAGACAAGAAAGAACGTGTTAGCCAACATTACATCACATGCAGATAAAAAATTACAATAAAAAAAAAGAATCAACTTCCACAGTGTGAAGTGTAGAGCTGAGAAGTGATTAATTTTATTTATCGATTATTGAAACAATTGTCGATTAATAATTAGCTAGATTATAAAAACTCAAAAAAGGCCATTTTCTGAAGGAACAACATAGTTAGAGAAGTATTGAAGCGGAAACTACAAAAATATATACATTTGGCATTCAGCATAAAAACAACCTCATTTTAGAACCTCTTTTAGAGTGAACAGCTGTATTGTGCTTACAACAATGTAAAGTCAAATAAATGAGAGTAACTTTTTTGTTTAATCCAAGGAAACATCTCCTGTTCACATTCAGCAAATACAGATGAAGAGGTTTGATTATGAAGTAGAATTTTTTTTTACATTTATTTTATGATGACTGGATAAGCTAATGAGGTTAGTTAAACTAAAGTCATGATCTGTAAGCTTAGTGACACTTGCTGCCAAACATGTCTGCATTGTGCCTGGCTACAGTCAGGCTCTGCTGGGTGCAGCTGAATGCTCAGGGCTTTTCCCATCACTCCCACTGCACTGCACCTTTCCTGCACTGCAGCCGATCCCGATTACTGAATCTATGACATCACGGCCTCAGTCCTGCAGACACTAACGGTTGTGGGGGTTGAGGACACAGCAGACAGCGTAGCACAAAACCAGAAGAGGGAAAAAGGTTCAATACATTAACCGAAAGCACATAAGAGGAAAAAGGCAGAGGAGCAGGAGGAAACAGCGGAGGCGTTTGGAAGGATTACTCACGAGATACTAGAGTCGAGGTTTGGAAGGCCGCCAGATAGAAGGAGAAGAAAAGAGAGATGAAGAAAAAAATATAGGAGAGGTCAGTAACAGGGTCAACTAAAATATTCCACACACATTTCAAGGACTGATATACGCTTCAGTTCTCACCGTATTACAAATAACCGATGGCCAATATAGACTGAAAGAAGTTAGGAGCAGCAGAAAATTCATTACTGTCAGCTCACATTAGGGAGCTGGACGTTATGACTAATACTGTGATCGATGACGATGTGGTCAATAAAACACCGACACACCCGTCATGTGGAGATGAGAGACAGGGCCGAGCCATTTTAATCAGGAGCCATGTCAGAACCATACATCAGTCTGACCCAAATAGGGAGACAAGCAGATGGAGGCAGACAGAAAAAGGACAAAGAGACACTGACATACGGACAGAGAAAATGAAGACGTGTAAGAGGGGGGGTTGTGGGTGTTTCTAAAAGGTAATTATTAGATCATAATGAGTTGCGATGATTATCCACTAACTCCAAGGCACATGTGAACGTGTGAGTCTTTTTATTCCTCTGTAAATGTATAACAGAATGTAATTTTGAATATTGCTTTATTTTTTATTCGATCAAGTTTCTTTCTAAACAAATAAAAACGATTTATAGCTGTGGACAGGTTTTCAGTCAGTGTCAATACAATATGTATTCAGGATTTGAAAACTTTTTTTTCCACGTTGGATACTTTGAAATTTATTGTAGACTTTTGCCAATTCACTCAAAGTCGAAGCAGGGCTGGGAATTTATTGTGTCACTTGTCATTCATCATAATAAATGTCTGATCACAAGGAGACTTTGAGTCATCATTGTCATGACAACTTCTAATTGATGATGTTTAAAAATCCCTGAAACTCTTCATACTGCCTGAATTATTATTTTTACTATTTTTATCCTCTGTTCCATGACGGTTTTCTGTCTTTATTTGGCAGAGCTGTCACATATCCATCTAAATGCTTTATATCTGGAAACTTATGATCTTGGAATAAGTTGTTGTTAAGAACAGAAAACTCAGTACTACAGTATATTAGTCATTAAAGGACCATCAGTGCCACTTTGTTTAAGGCTTAGTTGATGTATATTTCAGTGTGATTCAGAATTTGGACTCAGTGTAGAACCGAGTCCAAAAAAAGAAAAAAAAACTCCAAATCTGTTCACCCAATTCTTAGTTTTAAAAATCCACCTTAACTAAAATAGAAACATAGTTCAAATAAACAATTCAAAGCTCAACCTTGCTAGAAAATGTATGACAGTGATGAACACAAATGTACAAGCGTGGACCTAAGAGGAGAAGCGAGCAGGGTGGGCATTTATTATGTCATTTATCATTTAATTTGAAAAATCAAAATCTTATAAAAAGATTTTATAAATTTTTTTGCTTGGATTTTTTTTTTCAAAAGTATTATTTGTGTTTCTGATTTAGTTACCTAAAACAAGCAGCAATAAATAGTTCTTATCATCACTAGTATCGTTATCACAAAAGTGCCACAAAACGTTGTGCCAAAACGTCCCGTTCCTATCGCCCGGCCCCGGCACGGACTGCGGGTCGAGACCGACCCCTGGCCATACTCACGCCTGCATGGTGGTGGTGGCTGTCTGGAAGCTGAACATGTTCTCCTTGGGGAACCAGCTATTAGAGCCGTCCTCTGTGGAAACGGAGAACAAAAGGAAGGGGATGAGTCAGAGAGGAGGGTATTTTTAACACTTGCCTTACAATCAGCTGAGGATGGCAATGAAAAGTGAAACTTTCATGTTTGCTCTTGTAGAATAGTGAGAAAGCACAAGAAGGACATCAGATGTTACAGTAACACACACACACAACAGCAGTACTTTGTTGAAGCCCGGTGTTAAAGCTGAACCTCTGGATCCTCCATCCAGAGGCGGGTTGGCAGCGCTCTCATCCTGCTAATCAGATGCATTGTTGAATGAATCATCAGTAGGTGGGTGCACCTCTGGACGAGCACTTGCTTTGGGACGCTGCTGGACGATTCACCGTCAATTTGGTGTGTGTTAACATAATGCCGACCCATTTTTTTTCCTGGTAGTTCTTGTTATTTCCATCTGATGTGACAGAAGCTCAGATGGCAGCACAAGCGGTAGCTTTAGCGGGTTAGCACGGCTTCATTTTTCAAACTTCAAAATGTTTGAAGTTGAAATTCTTCCATAAACTGGTTTATATGCAAATGCGTGTGTCTCTGTGCACACACTGATACAGTATGTGTGTATGTTTATGGACGTGTGAGTGTTTATGCTTTCACAGATTTATCATTTTGAAATTTTGTATGTAAACTCTGAGGCTGGACTGGTTAAAGCAATGCTTCTACTTCAAGCATATTTTCTTTAGTTTTTACAGAATATTTTGTTCAAAAATATTTTCTATTTGTTGAAATATGAACTGCTTGAAAGAGAAAGAAAGGAAAATAGAAAGACAAATAAAAAAAGGGGTGATTGAAAGAAAAGAAGGAAAGCAAAAGAGAGTACTGCCACATTGCTATTTCATCACTGAATTGAATCAGGTCGTATTTTGTACTTGGATTTTAATCAAAATCTGAAAAGTTTCTGAACTTTCAGACAGCAAAGCCATCTTTGTAAATAGCTGTTAGTGCTTTCTTCTTGACTTTGAGGACGTCAATCATTAAAATCATTAATATTTACGAAAAACTATTTCTTGGGAATATCTCGTCTACATTTAGCACAAATTGTTCAGAATTAAATGAAACAAAGAGTCTGTGTCAAAGTTCTGTCTTTTGCCCACTTCATTTCAACTCAATCATTTAACAGTGTTTCTCTACCCTTGTCCTCAGTGGACGTCCTGTCCTCGCTGTAGCCCCTCTCCAGCTTCTTGCGGGCCTTTCCTCCGTCCCGTGGTGAGGTGTCCAGGTCCAGTGACCTCTGGCTTTGGCACGGGGCTCGGATACAGGCCACGCAGTCTGGACTGTACTCCTCCCTGGAGCCGCCTCTCCTTACCCCCCAGTCACCAATGTTGCTGGCACTCCTTGAGCTCTGCAAAGGCTCTGAGGATGATGAGGGCCCCCCCTGTTGCTGGTTGGCATGGTGATGGCTAGTGCGATGATGGCTACTGCGGTGGTGGCTACTTCGGGGGGCTGCAGCTGCTGGCTGGCTGGTGCAGGACAGGTTGTAGATGGCAGGGTTGGAGGTTTGGGAGCCCGGGTGCTCCCGGGGGCCCTTCAGTACCTCCAACTCCACGGTCTCCTCGCTTCCGGGCCCCCCAAGAGTCATCCCGCCTTCTATCGTTATTGTATACACCCTGGGTGGCTTCAGAGCAGCGCTCCCCTCGGAGCCTCTGGTACTTGGTGGGTCCTCTGAGGAGAGGCTTCGCTCGACAGAGAGTCTACGTTTTGAGGGCCCTGAGGGTCCTTGAGCTTTGAGGGTGTCGACCTGTGGGGGCGACTGCAGATTTGCCCTGGGATGGGGCTGGTGTGATCGACTGGGTTTAGTTATAGGCAATGTGTTGCTGCGCGGCGGCAGATTGTTGTTATGCAAACGGCCGACATCCGGAGAGTCACAGTCCTGACCGGGGAACGTTTCAGACAGAAGATGATCTGGAGACGAGGAGAAGCAAAGCAGGAGAGACTTTTACACACAGCCAGAGGAACTCACCGTTAAGACAAGGCAACGACCAAAGAAGGTAAATTTAGACGAGACTGTTTGTTCTTGAAAACGAAGAAGGGCTAAGCTCTTGAGAGGTTTGAAGAGCTCTACCTATTTATTCGATGGGTCTGAGACTCAGGTTTTTAAAGAGGTAGTAAAGTGGACAGGGAGGTAAATGCCATACACACAGCAACGGCAACATCAAGATCAGAGAACACAGGAAGCTTAAGAAACACTGAAAGCTCCAGGAGAATTTGTCATTTCACACGTCCTCAGCTTCTAGGCGAGCAATTGGGTCTGGATGTCCAGCTGAAATGAAACATTTAAACCAAATAAAACGACACAGATACTTTTTTTGCTGCTCAAATTCTGCAGTGGTAATAAAGCTAAATTTCAGTAGATCCAAATATTTCTAGTGTCAAGCTGATAGAAGGGAGAAAAATCAATAAAGAGCTGGAATTCTTACACAAGGAGATTTACAGCTATTGGTGAGTGTTGCACCTACCATCTAAAATAAGCTGAAACGAATAAGGCTATAAAATGTCTTAAGAGGATAATGAATATTGATGTGTTTCTGATCCAGCAGAGTGACACATGCAGCTCCTGTGTTTGGGATTTCAAATGTTGAAGTGTTTTGATGCTGAGCATTACACCGTTTGAGTGGTTTTGGTCCCTATTTACCCGAACGGCTCGATTTGAAAATACACTTTGTTGAGTCACTCATTACTTCTTATATAATCCAAAAGGTTTCGTATTTGGAGGACATCGGCACAAAATGGCCGACGGGAGAAGCGGTGCAGCGCTTTGTAAACAGGGAGATTTGAGTAGCTGACCCTGCTTGTTCAACAGAGTGGAAAATCACCAGCAACCAGTTAAGAGTCATTTTTATCCATTTTTGTCCTGATGAAACTCTGGAACTGGAAGACAGTCACTGCTGCACAAGCTTTTCTGATTTCATTTCAACTTCTTTTGTGCTGAATTGAAATGTTCAGTGTGACAAAAAAGTTTCATGAGATTCACTAAAATTGAGTTATCATGAAACTTTTCCAGGAAGAACTTTTATTAACTAATATATACAGTAAATTAGACATGGTAATATTACTGGAGTATCTGAATGTTGCCTATCCTCTACATTCCCATGTAAGTAGGAAGGGTGAACTTTTTCACTTCCTGGTTAGATATTTTGCATCTAGTTTTGGTGAATAAATACTAAACTCCTGGGAAATTTTTACATTTTCCCCCCTGTTAAGCACTTCTTTTAAGGTGCAGTATTGTGTGTTTTCCAGGCTCATGATGCCATTTTATAACATGATCAATTGCTTTTAAAAGAACGTTTGAGAAAGTTTTTACCAGCCTTGGTAAATAGCCTTCAAAATAGAAGTATCTTCTATACTAGAAGTATCTTCTATTTTGAGCTCAGGAGATGTGCAGTTCCACTGGGTGTTTGCTAATTGCTGCTGGCTAGTCTGAAGGAGCTGGGTGAAGGATTTGCTGGGGAGGGGTGAAATGTCAGGCAGAAACTCTGAAATGGCAACTTAGAGGAGAAGCTGCATCTGGTTGGCCACCCAGGCATTTTACACAGCTGGATGCCACCAGAGATTAAAATGATTTCTCAAACATGCATGAAACACCCCAAGTATGTTTCTGAAGCGTGAATGACACTATGACATGATGTAAAGCCCATAAAGTTTATTTAACATAATATTGCTCCTTTAAATTTGATCTTAGATCAGACCTCATCGAGATGTGGAAACAAACAAAACCAATCCTGGAATTGGTCACAGCAGCTAGAACTCGTACGGTGTGTTCCCTACCTGCTCCGTTGCGGTTCTCTGGGTTTGTGTTGGACAGATATTCTCCGAATGCTCTGGCTGCTCTGTGGACACAAAACACAGGCAACAGTTAACCTGCAGGTTTCACTGCATGCAGAGTCTCCCCGAGCTTTACCTCTCAAACTGGGTTCTTCTTCAACCAGATTGCACAACCTAAACAGACATTACCATGACATTTGAGTGCAGAATTAGTAAGGAAAGCAGTGAGGTCTTTTCTGCACTAAAACACAAAATATTAAATGTTTTGTTGTCTGTTCACAAGACACGCGTTCTTGTGTTCTAAAAATATACAAGAAAACAAAAAGTCCTGCTGCAGGGCAGCATGCTGCATTCATAGCAGCAGAGCTGCAGCCCTGGAGAAGAAGCAGCCAGGCTAAATGGAAGGAAGACACTCAGACAACCTTGTGATCAAAAGTTCAATCAACCAATTATTGGCTTGACCTGTTTCACAGATACTGAAATGCAAAATAAAAGGAAGAGTCAGATTAGTCAGATTAAGTACTTTTATGACGTAGAAAGAAAAAGCTCAAGCATATTTGTCACAACTATAATCTCAAAACCTGTACAGTTATGATATAAAAACCATGTTGGCTTTCAGTCGGTTTTGAAACATTTCTGATCTTTAGCTGATTCTGGAGCTGTGTAGATCAACACATCATCTGTAAACCCACAGGATTCCACCAGGCTGTCATTAATTAATGATGAGCCAAAAATGGAATAACTGTGTAGAAAAAACTAAATCCAATATATAATTTAATACATTTTTAAGAGGTTTTCTGTCTAACATTCTGTCTCCGACTGGAAACATCCTGGCCCACTCTTCTTTACAACATTTCTTCTTCAGTTCATTGATATTCCTGCATGGCTCTGTTCAGGTCCACAACATTTCATATGCAAGGTGTCAAAGTTCTGCTGCAAAATAAGTCCAAATCATGATTATTGGTAGACTTGCGCTGATTTGATGCATGAACATAACTCTGGGCATTACAGCCTTTGAAAAAGGAGAGATCGAAGCTGACAGGAAATGCTATATTCAACTTTTCCACATCAATGTCTCCATTAAATAAGAAAGAAAATTAAATACATGAATAAGCTTGTTCCTGAAATAGGTCAATATAAATTATGGATGTTAAGGCTGATAAACCTATTATGATAAAAGCGTATCATATCAGTCGATATCAACAATTACCAATATTAATAATTGACTATTTTCACATTCTGAGTATCTGAAACATTGTCATACTGGTTTCCTTTCCCGTTTTATCTCTTGTTTTCACTCCACACTGTTGAGGCATAACATCGAAACCTGAAAATGCTGCAGCACAACTTCCTCAACAAGTTGTTGCTAGGTAACCAAAGAATGACAGAGTTGGTTTAGGCCACCAACCATAGTTAGCTGCTCTCTAAAGGTCAAGCAGCTAACGCCTTTGCTTTGCCTACATCCCAGAATGCTCTGCGGTTTTGGATCGGAGTTCCAGAACCGCAGGTTCAAATATAAATATTGATACCAGATGCAGCTGAAACGAAGTGCTGGTCAACAGTCATAGATAAATAAGATTATAAAAAGTCCAAAAAAGAAAATGCAAAGTTTGAGCCACTTGGTCATGTCAGCAACTTTCTATAATTTACAACATTTCAAACAGACAAAAAAATTGGAATCAGCAGGTAAATTTTCTTAAAGATCCATAATTAGCGATTGGCCAGAAAAACTGCAATCAGTGCATCACTAGTGGAAACCGCATTCTTAGACCTCAAGACCTCATGTTGTAACCTGGAGAATGTAGAGTAGAAATAATCTGTCATTTCCCCAGATAAAAATAGATTCAGACACAAAAGATAAAATAAAATGTTAAAAATATAAAGAAGTTGTACTTTCTACCACATCTATTTAAAATTTACTCAATCTTTCCTTTGATAAATAGACAGATTGTTAACTGTTTGGTGGGATTTAAAACCAACAACCGTTGGAGCAGCTGTAGTCAGATCAAAATACAGAGCAGCAGTCAGAGCTAATGGTTCTCCGCCCACCCACCCACTCCACTAATGCCTTCCTGCCACCATCACATGGACCTGTGCAGACATCCTCAGGTTGGACCGTGGAACAGAACATTCTCTGCACGCACACACTGTTCCTGATTTACATCAACACATGGTTAAAACTCCCTGAGGGAACTGTGGTGTTTGTTTCTTCCACACACAAGAAAAAAAAGCCCTCAGTAATTAAATATCAGGTGGCATGTGAAGGCGCTCTCACTTGCCACGTCTCATGCAAGAATAGAGCATAAAAATTGAGATCTGGAGGGGGAAAAAAATGCAGTAATCTCTGATCTGCCTGCAGGATTTTCTGCACAGCTCCCATCAAAGAGGAAAAAAAATCCAGGTCGTGCATAAAATAGATGCTGAAACAAGCAAATGATGACCGAAGGAAAAATGCAGAAATGAACTGAACTCCTTACTAATACAAAAGCTTCAGACAGGATTTTATTTTTTAAATTCAAACAAATTAAGAATTCCATCATGTCTTGCATCCGTACCCTGATTTTGCTGTATTTAGCCATGGGACACACAGGGGACGGGGTAGGAGATCACACACCGTGACAAGTGGGAGATCTATGTATGCGAAACCAAAATAGAAAATTGGGGGAGTGGGAAGGAAGATGAGGAATGGAGATGTAATAGTAAGAAAAGGAGTATTGAGTAAGGAGCTCAGGTGGAGGAGAGCAGCAGACAGATGATCCAGAAATGAGATGATATTATGTTTGTGTGACTCGCAGTGTGGGTGAGGAAACAGCAGGGCAGCACATGGAAGAACTTTCTAGAATATTGCAGGATGTGGCAGCATAGTGAGGAGACAGAAGAGCTCCAGGAGAACGCTTCAGAGAATTCAGTTCAGTTGTTTTATATTGGGCTGCACAATGGTGCAGTTGGTGGCACTCTTGTCTTGCAGTAAGAAGGTTCTGGGTTCAATTCCCAGCCTGGGGCCTTTCTGCATGGAGATGGCTTGGGTTCTCTCTATCATGAATGATGTCTTGAATCTTTGGGTTTTGGGTTGAATGTGTGTTTATTCACATTGTCTTCATGTTGCCTGTGTGTTCTGACAGCCATTCCCCCCATCTCCTCAGTTCAACTTCTGTTACTTCCCTTCCCTCAAATTCAATTAAAATAAAATTATTGATCCCAGGTGTAAATTAACTCACAGCTGTCTCTAATCAGCCATCTGCTCTGGGTTCAGCTCATGGAGCGGGATTCTCATGTTATGCTACCGACCCGTATTCCTCTTGTGCTGGTTATCTTGAACTCAGGCCCGGGCTTCAGAATTTGAAAGTTTTCAATTTTACTCATTTGTAAAGGGACAGTATTATGTGTTTTCCAGGCAGATAGTGAAATTGTTTTGTGCAATCAAGGAACTATGTTAACTTCAATTATAAAAATGCAGAATACATAAAACAATTTAACTCCTTGATGTTGGCCCTCTGTCTTTTTAAGAAGCTCCTACTCCTTCCAACAATGTTTTTGTGAGCATTGGACTGAGAAGTAATTTGTCTGACGAGCTCAGCAGGTGTTTGCTGCTGCTGCTAGTCTGGAGGAGAAGGGTGGGGTGGCTGGGGTGGTGCTCTTTGAAGAAGAGGTTTGACTCGAGGATGAAACCTGAGAGAAGAGATGTGTGTAGACGGTGGTGCTTGATCAGAACATGTGTTTAGACACCCCAGAATGGTTGCCATGGGAGATTTTGACATTTCACAAACATGAACGAAAGTATCAAGGTAACATTCCTGGTATGTTTTTGTTGAGGAAATAACATTATAACATAATGTTAAGCTAAAAAAAAGAAAAAAAAAGCTAATTTTATATACTAACAATCAATCAATCAAGCTTATTTATAAGGCACATTTCATTAACAAGGCAGTTCAAAGGGCTTTACATCATAAAAACACAAAAATGCAAAGTCATAGAACACAGTCAACAACTGAAACATTACATTACACATTATAAATATACTACTGACATTTTAAACCAACAACTGACTTTCATCTGCCTGCCTCCTTCCTGCATTTTGGGTCATTTGATTTGTGACAGAAGGCTCTTGTTTCTGAGTTTGACTAGGAGTCACCTTCACCAGACTGATGATGCCGTCCCAGAAGGCTCCTGGTCCTGAGGTCCCACCAGGAGGCTCCTGTACTGTGAGCAATAAAGCCACTGTCCTCCTTAAAGCTACAAGCACTGGTTTCAGGCTAACTATGACACAGTCCATCTAGCCTGGTCTACTTCTTGATGTACATAGATCGGCTGACATTGAGTTACTGTTTGGATCCATAGAAACATATTTAACATTGAAATCTGCTCTCAGACTCTGTCTCCAAACCAGGCAGAGGACAACGGAAGCAGCACAGCAGACCAAACCAGATCACTGTTCAGCTAGGCCAGTGCTTCTCAATTATTTTCCGTTACGCCCCCCCTAGCAAGAAGAAACTATTCGCGCCCCCCACTCCCCACCGTGACTATCCATCTCTGCATAACATTTTTTCCTTATTAACATTAAAAAAAAAAGAAAGACATATGGTCAAACTTACAAAGAATAACTTTATTAAATTGTGTTTTAAGTCTGCAACAGAAAAGATTTTAAGTGCATCAATGCCTGAAATTAAAAAAATAAATCCATGTCTACTGCTGCAGGCAGTATCAGCTCCTCTGCTATGGTGTGGGGCTTTTTGCACTGCGTAATTTGGTACGCCACCTTATATGATGCTAGCAGCGCTCGATGGTTTACTGAAGTAGCCTTCACAAAGCGGGATGACTGTTGGCAATATTCAGCACGTTTTCGCTGAAAAAACTCTAGCGGCTTATCGGCGTGATTGGGATGTAACGTATTTAAGTGACGCGCTAATTTATTTGGCTTCATGCTGTCCGCTGCGAGCATTTTTAGACACAGCAAACACACCGGTCTTTCCTCTTCTCCAACTGTAGTCACAGTGAAGCCAAGCGCTAAATAAGATTTGTCGTATTTCCTCTTCTTAGCTTTCGGTTGACTTTCTGTTGTCTCATT